GCGGCGGCGGCCAGCAGCGGCAGGCGGCGGCGGTGGCGGCGGCGGCGGCGCGGCGGCGGCGGCGGCGAGCAGCGGCGGCGGCGGCGGCGGCGGCGGCGGCGGCGGCAGTGGCGGTGGCGGCAGCGGCTGCGGCGGCGGCGGCGGTTTGGCAGCGGGGGGCGGCGGCGGCGACGACGACAACGACGAGGGAGGAGGGAGGACGGCGACGACGCGAACGACGAAGAAGGAGGAAGGACGGCGACGCCGACGACGACAACGACGAGGGAGGAGGGAAGACGACGACGACAACGACGACGACGACGACGGCGACGAAATAGGAGGGACGACGGCGAGACGCCGACGACGGACGACGACGACGACGAAGGAGGAGGAGGAAGGACGACCACGGCGACAACGACGACGGAAACGACCACGACGCCAAATAGGACGACGACGACGAACACGAGGAAAGACAGAGGACAACGTAGGCGACGACGACGACGACGCGGGAGGAGGGAGGACGGCGACGACGACGACGACGACGCAAGAGCGCGCGCGCACGCTTTCGTTCAAAATCCGTGTTGCGAAACCTTGGTTTTTTGTAGGTTTTTTGGACACACGATTTTGAAATCCTTCCGAAACCGATGGGTTTTGAAGGATTTCGGCATACGCGCGCAACGACGCGCGCGTCTGCACTTCGTCCCATGTTTTGCAAAGGATTCTCGCGACGGCACACGCGCAAGGGCGTTCGACGCATTTCGACATGCGCGCGCGACGCCCGTTTGGTAGCATTGTGCAAAAATCTTGGAAAACCAAAATGGTTTTCTTAAGATTTCGCCAGAGCTCGCGCGGAAGCTTTTTTAGCAAATCAGTGTTGCGAAACCATGTGTTTTTGTATGTTTTTTGGAAACTCGATTGCGAGATCCTTCCGGCACCGAAGGTTTTTGAAGGATTTCGGCATGCGCGCGCGACGACGCGCGCGTGTGTACTTCGTCCCAATGTTTGCAAGGGATTCGCGAAAAAGTGTGATGTTAGAACAACAAATGTCACCGCATAGTGTTTTTTACAAGGGACCCTCAGGGGGGGGGATACCGGGCCCCCGGGGATAGTGCAAATTCATATTTAAGATGGACATGTGGTCAGAACCATATATGATTTACATACCCGAGAGGGGGACCGATAACGCCGGGGGGGGAGGTAGATCCTACTCTGTTTGTAATAATTTCTGTTCGCAATGAGTTGTCCACTCCACTGCTCGCGCAAACATCCCACCCACCCACCCGCAACTTGGTTTGCAAAATCTCTTAAGACCGTGACGGTGGGTACCAAATGGCACTTGGCAACAAAAGCGACGCCGACGACGACAGCGACAACGCCGACGCCGACAACGACTACGACGACACCAGCGACGTCTCCAACGACTTCGACGACGACACCGACGACGACGACGACACCGACGACGACGACGACGCCGACGCCGACGACGACGACGACGACGATGACAACGACGACGACGATGACGACGCCGACGACGACGATGACGACGACACCGACGACGACGACGACGACGTCAACGACGCCGACGCCGACGACGACGACGACGACGGCGGCCACGACGACGACGCCGACGTCGACGACGACGAAGACGACAACGACGCCGACGCCGACGCCGACGACGACGTCGCCAACGAAGACGACGAGGGAAGAGGAAGGACGACGACGGCGACAACGACGACAACGACGACAACGACGAGGGAGGAAGGAGGACGGCGACGACGCGAACGACGAAGAAGAAGGACGGCAACGCCGACGACGGCAACGACGAGGGAGGAGGGAAGACGACGACGACAACGACGACGACGACGGCGACGACGGCGACGAAATAGGAGGGACGACGACGAGACGCCGACGACGGACGACAACGACGACGAGGGAGGAGGAGGAAGGACGACCACGGCGACAACGACGACGGAAACGACCACGATGCCAAAGAGGACGACGACGACGAACACGAGGAAAGACACAGGACAACGTAGGCGACGACGACGACGACGACGCGGGAGGAGGGAGGACGGCGACGACGACGACGACGACGACGACGACGACGCAAGAGCGCGCGCGCACGCTTTTGTTCAAAATCCGTGTTGCGAAACCTTGGTTTTTTGTAGGTTTTTTGGACACCCGATTTTGAGATCCTTCCGAAACCGACGGGTTTTGAAGGATTTCGGCATACGCGCGCGACGACGCGCGCGTCTGCACTTCGTCCCGCTTTTTTGCAAAGGATTCTCGCGACGGCACACGCGAAAGGGCGTTCGACAGATTTCGTCATGCGCGCGCGAGAGACCCGCTTGGTAGCATTTTGTGAAAACCTTACGAAAAAAAACCTATGGTTCTCTTAAGATTTCGCAAGAGCGCGCGCGCACGCTTTTGTTCAAAATCCGTGCTGCGAAACCTAAAGCTTTTGTATGTTTTTTGGACACCCGATTTTGAGATCCTTCCGAAACCGATGGGTTTTGAAGGTTTTCGGCATACGCGCGCGACGACGCGCGCGTCTGCACTTCGTCCCGCTTTTTTGCAGAGGATTCTCGCGACGGCACACGCGCAAGGGCGTTCGACTGATTTCGACATGCGCGCGCGCGCGAAGCCCGTTTGGTAGCATGTTGTGAAAATCTTGGAAAACCAATGGTTTTCTTAAGATTTCGCCAGATCTCGCGCGGAAGCTTTTTTGCAAATCAACGTTGCGACACCATGAGTTTTTGTATGTCTTTCGGAAAGTCGATTGCAAAATCCTTCCGGCACCGCAGGTTTTTGAAGGATTCCGGCATGCGCGCGCGACGACGCGCGCGTGCACTTCGTCCCATTTTTCGCAAGGGATTCGTGAACAAGTGCTATGTTAGAACAACAAATGTCACCGCATAATGTTTTTTACAAGGGACCCTCAGGGGGGGGATGCGGGTTGGCGTTTGACATTGTGATTTCATACTTAGGATGGACATGTGGTCAGAATCATATGTGACTTACATACCCGAGAGGGGGACCGATAACGCCGGGGGGGGTAGATCCTACTTTGTTTTTAGAAAGGAAAATCAAGGATCCACTCTGCTGAACTTGAAGTCGTCATCCCCACTGCTCGCGCAAACATCCCACCCACCCACCCGCAACTTGGTTTGCAAAACCTCTTAAGACCGACTACGACGACACCGACGACAACGACTACGACGACACCGACGACGTCTCCGACGACACCGACGACGCCAACGAAGGCGACGACGAGGGAGGAGGAAGGACGACGACACGACAACGACGACAACGACGAGGGAGGAGGAAGGACGGCGACGACGCGAACGACGAAGAAGGAGGAAGGACGGCGACGCCGACGACGACAACGACGAGGGAGGAGGGAAGACGACGACGACAACGACGACGACGACGGCGACGAAATATGAGGGATGACGAAACGCCGACGACGGACGACGACGACGACGCGGGAGGAGGAGGAGGAAGGACGACCACGGCGACAACAACGACTGAAACGACCACGACGCCAAAGAGGACGACGACGACGAACACGAGGAAAGACAGAGGACGACGTAGGCGACGACGACGACGACGACGCGGGAGGAGGGAGGAGGGCGACGACGACTACGACGACGACGACGACGCAAGAGCGCGCGCGCACGCTTTTGTTGAACGTCCATGTTGCGAAACCTAGTGTTTTTGTAGGTTCCTTGGACACCCGATTTTGAAATCCTTCCGAAACCGATGGGTTCCGAAGGTTTTCGGCATACGCACGCGACGACGCGCGCGTCTGCACTTCGTCCCGTTTTTTGCAGAGGATTCCCGCGACGGCACACGCGCAAGGGCGTTCGGCTGATTTCGACATGCGCGCGCGCGAAGCCAGTTTGGTAGCAGTTTGTGAAAATCTTGAAAACCAATGGTTTTCTTAAGATTTCGCCAGAGCTCGCGCGGAAGCTGTTTTTGCAAATCAGTTTTGCAAAACCTGTGTTTTTGTATGTCTTTTGGAAACTAGATTGCGAAATCCGTCCGGCACCGAAGGTTTTTGAAGGATTCCGGCATGCGCGCGCGACGACGCGCGCGTGTGCACTTCGTCTCGTTTTTTGCAAGGGATTCGTGAAAAAGTGTTCTGTTAGAACAAAAAATGTCACCGCATAGTGTTTTTTTACAGGGGAACCTCAGGGGGGGGGATACCAGCCGTCCTGGGATAGTGTAAATTCGTATTTAGGATGGACATGTGGTCAGAATCATATGTGATTTGCATACCCGAAAAGGGGATTGATAACGCCGGGGGGGGGGGGGTAGATCCTATTCTGTTTTTAGAAAGGAAAATCTGCGCAGTGCAATCTATGTGTTGCAACCTGAGTGGTGCAATCTATCCAATACAACATGTGTGGTGTAAGCTACGCGACAGCGGCGACGGGCGGCGACGGCGACAACAGGCGCGGCGACCGCCAGCCACGCGCAGAAGCAGCGGCGACGGAGGGCGGCGACTGGAAAGCGGCAACCGCCAGCCAGGCCCAGAAACAGCGGCGACGGACAGCACGAGAGGCGACGGCGACAACAAAGCCGCCACACCGCCAGCCAGGCCCAGAAGATGGGCGGCGACGAGGGCGGCGACGGCGACAACACAGCCGCCAGACGGCCAGCCAGGCCCAGCTACTTAGACCACATGCAAGAAACCCTAAGTGCAAGCACTGTTTGGGTAAATGCCCTAAAAGCAGAAACAAGCAAGCAACAAACATACGCTGGCAAGTGGAAGGGGAAGATCCCCCCCATCCAGCTAGTTCCGTCCCCTCCCACATCATCTTCATCAATCGCCGCACCCTCATCATCACCACTACCCTCAGCATCACCATCATCGCCACCATCATTCTACCCCTAGCTCCTCTTCCTCCTCCTCCTCCCCTTCCTCCTCCTCCTTCTCCTCCTCCTCTCCTTCTCCTCCCTCCAGCCATCTCCGCCTCTCATCAACGTGGAGGGGCGGCTCTGGAAAGGTGGGAATCCTGCCGAAGCAGGCCGTCGGGAAGCGAAAGTCGTCGTCGAGCAGCACAGGAATGAACCTGGCCACACATATCGGATGAGGACAAGACAGGGCAGGACAGAACAGGACAAGACAAGGGTAGATGAGATGGGACACAGCACGCGTATGATCACGAATATCCCACCAGCCTTCTGGGCGACAGGTGGTCTAAGGGTGATCTCTTTTTTCTTCCACAACCCCTCTATTCTTTCGGGAAGGGGAACCCTCCCCCTCCGATCCCTGGAGTTTTTGGGAGGGAGACCGATGTGTCAGAGGGTCCTTGATGTTCGGCCAGTAGGAATGCCAATTTCTGACACCCCTTACCAGGACCGCGGCCCCCGAAGGGGGGGGAGCAGACATCGAGGGCACCACTGTTTTGACCGACCGCCTTCAAGATGGCACCAAGAGGCCCTCCAAGGCTCCCAAGAGGCCCCCGGGCGAGCTCCAAGAGCGCCCGAAGAAGCCCAAGAGGCCTCCAAAAAACACCCGGGAGGCGCCCAAGATGCCCCCGAACGGCCCCAGAGAACCCCAAATGACCTTCAAGATGGCTCAAGATAGCCCAAGCTGGCTCAACAAGGCCCCCAAGATGTTCCAAGAGGCCCCAAGACCGCTCCAAGACGGCTCGAGGTGGCAACGGAATCCCCCCAGGAGACCGCCAAGAAGCCAAAATCCATCAAAAACCGAACGACAAACAATGAATGAGGCCTTCTCGCCTTTTTTGTGGTCGATGGCCTTCCGAAGCCTCAAAGGCCCAGTAGAGCCCCAGGGCGGCTCCAAAAGCGCCCAAGAGCACTCCAATTCCGCTCCAGGAAGGGCCAAGAGGCGATTTACGGGACTCCCGATGGGGGGGGGGGAGTAGTTGAAGTTCACCCCGTCTTTGATCGATCTCAGATCCCAAGGCTCCCAAGAGCGCCTCAAGAAGGCCCCAAGACCGCCCCGAGACGGCCCCGAATGGCCACGAACGCTCCCCAGGAGGCCACCAAGAGGCCCAAATCCACCAACACCATAGGAACATCCATGAATTTGGCCATCTCGCCTCTGTGCCACCAGCCTTCTGGGCGTAGGTGGTCTAGAGCGTTTCCTGTTCGACCCTTTCCCTCTTCCCCTTCGGGGGTGGGTTTATCCTTACTTCCTATGATTACCCCCCCCACCCCCACCCACCCCACATCCCCACGCAGCCGGCCGATAGCCACCCCGCCGTCCTAACGATCTGAAAACGGAAAAAAACACACAAACTTAACTTTGTGCTCGCCACCACGTCGTCGAATTGCGAAACGTGTAGCACGAATGGGACGGAGTGGACATCGCTTGGGTCGCCGGAAGCGGGTGGTCGCGTCCTACCCTCCAAAAACAATACAACTTTTGTGTCGTCAGCTTGGGCTCTCTTGTCGTCGACGCTGCTAAACATGTAGAAGGAATTTCACGCGGCGCACATCGCGCGCGGACGTCTGGCCACCCCTACGCGGGACCCCCCGTCGTACCTGCAAAAGCACGGCAACGTCGACGTTTCTTCCGCCAACATGTTGTTTTTCCTCGTCGGCGCTGCGAATCGCGTAGCGGGAAGGGGACGCGGCGCACATCGCGCGGGGACGCCTGCTCGTCAACATGGATTTTCTTGTCGTCGACGATGCGGCCCGTCGGGTGGAGGAGCTGGGCGGGCGCCAAGTCAGAATGCTTCAAGCAAGTGCGGCACAAGCGAATGCCTCAGGAGATCCCCGAGAGGTCGAAAAAAGGCGTCCAGGAGGTCCTGGGGGGCAACACAAATATTGATTTGCATTTGGTGTGTGAAGGATTGTGAGGTTAGCATCTACTTGTGTTGGCAATGTTAACCAAGAAGATAAATCCAAGAGGCCCTCAGGCGTATAACAGAAAGCTCCCGGGACGCCCCGCGACGTCGCAAGAGGCATTCCCCTTTTCCTCTTCAGTTTTTCCCTCCCTCCCTCTCCCCCTCCCCTCCTCCTCCTCCTCCTCCTCCTCCTCCTCCCCCTCCTCCATATTAATAGGCACCCTGCCGACCAGCATCGATTTGATGACATTTCGGGGCAGAGACGGTTGCAGGTTGCCGATCCAGAGGTTGCGTGGCTTTGACTGGACGCCTCATACCTATTGATTAATTCGCAAATTGATAGTATGTCTGAGCCATTTCACTTTCTTTTGCTTGTACTGCTCGGCTGCGCTGTTGCGCCTCTCCGCCGCGATCCCCAGGGTGGGCACCGAGTGGTGTCGTGAGCAGCGCTCGGCCTGCTGCCAAGGCAGTGGGCCCGTTTGAAAGTGGCCGATTGTGCTATGCGCGACGAATCCCTTCTATGCTGCGTACTCCCCCTCATCCATGCGCGGCAGGAGCGAAACGATTGGCAGTGCAACACGAGTGGCTGGAATGAAACGCGGCGCAATTCGCGCGCTGGACATGTTGTTGCCGACGATGCAACATGAGAGGCCGGAACGGGGCGCGGCGTACATCGCGCGCGGTCTTGATTCTCGTCGGCGTTGCTCAATACGCGGCAGGAATAGGACGCAGCCCATGTCGCGCGCTGAACGTCTAGCCGCCCACGATATAAGATGAGCGACAGGCGTCGGACGCGACGCACTTGCTTTTTATGTTGCGGGAGGCCGGGCGGGAGTGGACGGAGCCCTCTGACTCGTTCGAGCTGGCTAACTTGACTCCTCCCCCTACTCCCTCCCCCTGGACATGGACGGGGCGTTTCGCGAGCGGTCGGGGCGTCCAAGATGGCCAAAGTGGCTCCAAGAGGGCCTCGGAAAGCCCAGGACGATCTCCAAAATGGATCAAGATACCGCAAGATCGCTCAAGATGGTTCCCAAAATGCTCCAAGAGGCCCCAAGAACGCTTCAAGGTGTTTCCATGAAGCCTCCGAAACCTCCAAGGAAGCCCCGAAGATACCACAATCTTTTCAAACCTAAAGAAAATCTGTGGTGTTTGCTTTCTCGAGTTTCCGCTTCCGATGGCCATCCGAGGCCTAAAGATGGCCCCAGCATGGCCCAAGAGGGCCCCAAGAGAGGCCCAAGACAGCTCCAAAACGGCCCCAAAGACGCCCACGACCGCTCCAAGAGCGCCCCAAGATCGCCCAAAGAGGCGATGTTTGGGGTTCCCGAAGGGCGAGGCTAATTGAAGCCCCCCTCTTGCTTGATCGATGTCCTCCAAGATGCCCCCACGAGCGCCCCTCAAGCACCCAAGAGCGCCCCAAAAGGATCCCAGGAGGCGCCCAGGCGGCCCCAAGAGGCGCCAAAAAGGCCTCCCCGAGGCTCCCAAGAGACCCCCACGAAACCTCAACAGGATCTCCGAAAAAGGCATTTATGAAGCTTCTGGCTGTTCGGTTCGCCGTCCTCCCCTTCCTCATCCACCTCTTCCTCCTTCTCCCTCCTCCCTCCCCCCCTCCTCCCCTCCTCCTATTCGTCCTCCTTCTCAGTATTTTCCTCTTTCTCCTCCTTTTCCTCTTTTTCCTCCCTCTCGTCCTTCTCGTTTTCCGCGTCCTCGCCCTACTCAATCTCTTCTTCCTCATTATCCTCATTCTCCTCCTCTTCCTCCTCCTCCTCCTCCATCTCCTCCTCTTCTTCATCCACCGACAACGACGACGACGTTTCCTCCTCCATCCTTCCCCTCTTGGGGTCTATGACAGTTTCCCCCGCCATTTGTTGTTCTGCATGCCCCGCCGCTCCCCTGATCATCTCAAGTCCCCTGGGCATCGTTTATGGATGGGCTGGTGGGGCTTTTGTTGATCGCGAACGCACGCGGAGACGCCGGACGTCGTCAGAGGCAGATAGGGATACTTTTTCGCTCGCAACCGCAACCGGGCAGCCGCGCGGCGTCAATAATCAAACGCGTGACAGGCCTACACGCGCGGGAAAATCACACAACAGCAGGCGAGAGGGGAAAATTGACGGGGCCGAAACCATGCGCGAGCGGCGCTCGGGCGACGAAAAAAGCGGACGAACAGGTGGGGATACGTTTTTTGATCGCGACCGCGGGCGGGCATCCGCGCGGCGTCAAAGGGTCGAACAGCAAACGAAAGTCAGGCACAGCGCAACTGTCGCCGGCAACGCGCTGAAAAGAAGGCCACAATGGTGGCGAAAAAACAAATGGGGATACTTTCTGACCAGCGGCCTCGTGAAGCGGGTCACAAGGCGTCCAAACTTTAGCCGGGCCACGACTAGGCAGCAGAAAAACGGAAAGCGGAGAGCAAGACAGGCGCAGAGAGGGGCAAGCGGAGCGCGCGGGCAGCCAGAAGTGCACCAGGACCGGCATTCCCAACCCGGCGGCGTGGAAATCCCGGTGGCGACCACCAAGTAAACGCGAACAAAATGGCGCGGCGGCGCGACCATGAACACGCAGAGGTCGATCACCCGTTGTGAGTCGGCATAGGGCCCGACGAAAACGAGCAGGTCCGACAGGCGCTTCAGGGCGACATCCGTGCCATAGGTGACACAACAGCATCGTGTCGGCGTCGGACTGAAAATGGGCAGCCTCGTCACAGACAGGACTGCAAACGGCAGATCCTCCGGCATGTACACCCGGTGGCGCAGGTCGAAAGCGAACTCCGTGAAGGAGAAAGCAGCCGACGGGCGCCCAGAGCCACAAATGCCAAACTCCTTGTACCGAAGAGGACGGCACCGTAGCAAGTCCCCACGGGACCCCAGCGGTCACCAGTGGAGGCTGACACCAAGCAAGAGCAGGCCACGGGCCACCTGGCCGCCCATCCCCGGTGTGGTCACGCATGGAATCCGAAGCGAGACCTCGCGGAACCCTCCCTGTCGCCAGCGGGGGCCGACACCAGACAGGAGCAGGTCAAGGGCCACCTGACAGTCCGTTCCCACTGTAAACCACGCATGGAATTCAGGCTGCCAGAGCACCGAGGGACAGCAGTATTGGCGCGGCCACCCCAGCTGCGTGGAATAAACCCGGCGAAACGAAGGAGATGAGGGGAAACGCACGCCAGGCACGGTAGGCAACCCGTTGCGGCAGCTACCCGCTGCGTCAATAGGAAGCAGGAGACACGAGCATCGGAGCCCACTGAACCCTTCCGC